AAGTGTTATGATAGCAAAGGAACACCGGTCAAGCCGACCAGGCCACCAGGCCGAAAGGAAAGCACCTAAGTGGATCCCAAAACACTTAGAAAATTTTTGAAAAATTCCTAAGTATTATGAAACTACGTCCAAGCCGATCAAGCCACTAGGCCGTAAAGACAGGAGCTACATGGACCCAAAAACACTTGGGAAATTTTTGAAACAAAATCCTAAGTGTTATGACAGTAAAGCAAAGAGGCATAGGCCGACCAGACTACTGGACGGGAAGGCCAACCTCACGGACGTAGCGGACACTCGCGGGTGACCCAAGTTATGACTTGATACTTAGACAATTTACAGAATTGAAATGACAAAGCAAACAAGCACACAAGGGATTCAAGGCCGAAAAGGATAGCAAAAATTTCTTCAATTGATAAACTTCATTACAATTGGGGGGCACTACGGCCGTTACACCACTTGGCAAAATATTGAAACGCTAATTACAAATGAATAGTCTATCAAGCTTCGGGGGCATCACCATCTGCGGCTGTCTCATCGGCCTCATCAGCTCCCTCTTCGTCCTCAGCTTCTTGGTCGGCAGCAGGTGCAGCACTGGTGGCATCGTCGTCCAGGAAGTCGAACTCAGTATAGTCCGGCTCGCCGAGGCCGGAGCTTTCTATGGGGGACTCCCGCTCCGACAGCGGAAGCTTGGCCTGCTCTTCGGGATCCTTCATCAGCTTTGGCAGCTTCAGGTTCCGTCTAGCCCATCCAGACGTGTAATTCATAGCCTTCAACGCCCGGGATAGCCGCCAACACAGGAGCCTTTGCATGCACTCCTGGCCCAGGTTGTAATAAACGGACATCTCCCGGCTGAAATACTCCCGGCCGGCAGGGGAGTTCATCCCCCAATTCTCAAGCCTGGCGGCCACCACTTCGTAGCACCAGGGGAGCCTCTCATCGGCCTTCCACCCCTCGGCCAGGAACTTCTCGACGGCCTCATCGGCAGCCTTCACGACAGCGGCCTCGGCCTCAGCCTTCGCCTTGGCGGCCTCCTCGCTCTTGCGCCTCTCGGCCTCAAGCGCCCTAGGGGACTCCTCGAGCTCCCTTCGGCTCTCCTCGAGCTTGACCAGGCCATCATCCCTGGCCGCGGCGGCTTCATCAGCTTTGGCCTGCAGCGCCTTGGCATCCTCCCGGAGCCGGTCAAGGCAAGCTACCGCCTCGTCGGCCGAGGCAGCCTTCTGCTCCAGTGCTTGCAGGCGAGCTATCTCCCAGTACTGCCTCTTATGGCTTTCCATAAGCATGAAGGCACTCTGCAGAAGAAATACAAAGGTCAGGCAAAAAACTCTACACAGACGAAGAGAGACCAAAATATAAGGACAGTCACTTACTTGGACGAGGAGGTCCATACCGCCCTCATAAATCTTCGGGTCCTCGAGCTTCTTCAAGTGAGCCCGATCTTTGGCCGGCATGGCCTTGGCCAGGACGACGTGGCCGGGGACGAGATCATTAAACACGCCCCCGCCGACGGGGTACTCTATCACTTTCTGATAGGTGGCACCGGCAACCTCCTTGCCGGCCCTCTGCGTCCGTGGTTCCAGGACGAGAGGAAGCGCTGGGGCAGCATCGTCTGCAACAGTAAGGTCCACGACGGGACCACCATCGCCCACGCTGGGGACAGTAAGAGTACCGGCCTCACTAGCCGGGGAAGGGGAAGGAGCCCTCTTCGTCTTCTTAGAGACGCTCACGCCGGCCTCAGCCAGCTTTTTCTGGCCGTCAGTGGCCGGTCTCTTTTTCTTTGATGGGGTAGGCTTTGGGGCCGCATCAGCAGTAGCCCCGCTCCCACTAGCAGCGGCACGTCGGGCCGCCTCGGCCGCCTTGGCAGCCAGCTCCTCGGCCGCCTTGGCCTTGGCAACAGCCATTATGGAACGTCGGTCCATGACAAAGTCTACAAAGGAAAAACAAACAGATTAGTAAGGCAAAGGACAAAACATAAAGACAGAAAGCTGAAGAAAAAATTACCATCGGCCTCAGCAGGAATGCCCAAATCCGGGCCATCGGCCTCCTCAAAGGTGGTGGTCATCCTCGGCCAGAGTTGGAGGTCATCCTCCTTATCCCCATACAGGTGATATCTGAAGAAGCCGAGGGCGGTCATCTTGTATTCAGTGACGTAATCTTTCACGCTCCTCGGCCCTCCTTCCAGGAAAGCCTCCACCTGAGCGTCCAAAATAGAGCTCTTCGGGGGGTCATGGAGATTGAACCTCCCGGTATGGCCGAGAGAGGGGAACTCGGTGCCACTTTCACCAATGGACACAAACACGAACTTGCTTTTCCACCCATGAATGGACGTGGGCAAATCCGTGAAGCTCCTCTTCCTCGGCAGCTGTTGAAGAGTAGCGTAGGCCGCACAGTTCTTGTGGCTTCCTCGGCCGATCTGGTACAAGTTCATGAATAAGGCCGTGGTCGGCCTGAAGCCCAACTCCTCACACCGAAGTAAAAAGCCCACCATCAAGGAATAACTGTTCGGCGTCAGCAAGGCCGGAGGAAGCCCCACCATGTCCAGATACTCAATGACGAAAGGGTGAAGGGGGAACCTCAACCCCTTAGCAAAGCTCATCGGGTATACTCCAAAGTATCCCGGTGGCGGAAGTAGAACATGGTCCGTCGGCCTGGGTGCCCTAACCCGCCCGAACGGCCCCACGTACATTTGGGCGACAAGATAGTCGGCCGCACTGCTCTCCGGCTTGATCAGGAATATGTTGGTGAGGTCCAAGTAGGAGAGGCCCGGCCCATTCTTCGGCCTCCTCACCCTCTTCGGCTTAGCTGCGCCCTTCACGGCAGACACCGGCCTCGGGCACGGAACGGCAGCAGAAGTGGACGCCCCGTCCACCGCTCGGGACGCGCCTACGTCCTCACCCTCTGAAGAGGAGGCGGACTCCTCGTCCTCGCCTTCCTCGTCCATCAGCTCTCCGGATTTGTAGGGGCTCAAACGCTCTATCTCCTCTTCAAACTCCTCGAGCACCTCGTAGTCAAGCGACCTCGTGGAGGGCTGGTCGTCGTAGGGGTAGTAGTCCTCGTTCAAGCTCTTCATTACTACTACTACGGGCTTAAGGAGAACAACTTAAGATCTAAAGGTGTTTAAACGCCTAACACTAGATCAACTACCTAGGAAGCAAAGTATGAAAAGCGAGGAAGATCGTGATGAACACTAACCTCGAACAACGAAGAACACGGAGAACAGGCTTGGGAGTTTATCTCTCTAGAAAATCGGCCAGCACTTCGACAAATTCAGAATGCAAATATGATTCCTCGTCGGAGGGGAAGGGGTATTTATAGACCCCCCCACCAACGGTCACTACACGTGGCACTCTCCCAATGGCCACATCAACGGCCACCACTGGGAGGCCACCACGTCACCAATGGGCCAGGACCAACCCATATCAACGGCCCACCGGCAAATCAGACTCTACGGCCTACACACGCTCAGCGGCTTTACAACTGCCAACAAGCGCCCACAACGTCCCACTTGCTCACCAAGATCACAAATGCCAAACAATAAGAGGATGGCAACGGCCAGGAACGTAACGGCCACAGAACAAAGGGGACAAATAGCCCACAGCCTTCGGCTCCTGGTAATAACCCTTGATGATAACTCTCTACAAGCGATCTGCGCACAAGGGTTCTCCCACAGGGTTACCTTGGCCAGAAAATCGCCATGAGAGTTGGATTCAGGGGGACTACGGCGAGACCGCTTCGGCCAGGGACTCAAACAACTCCTTCACCCCTCACACTCTTCGGCCTGAAGCAGTGGGGGACTGGGGGACTACACCGGCCTCAACGAAACAAAGAGTATAAACAAGGTAACCACAAAACATGGCCACATCATCCACACAGCCCAACGGAACCTCATCGGCCAAAGACCCAAAACATCATTAGCAACGGCCAACAAGCCACTAGAGACAAGGACACTCATCGTCCTCCGCCAACAATTAATCTTGACGGGCCCTTCGGCCAAGAACACGAAGGCCAACCAGCAACGGCCAAAAGGAGTGCGCGAGCACCCTCATCGGCCACCCAAAGGAAAGGACGCCATCGTCCTCAAAGCAAGGAACAACCTCACTGGCCCAAACATAAACTTCAACCACCAACGTCCAGGAAAGAGAAAGCGCGCCTTCAACGGCCGACATCGGAACAAGACACTCATCGTCCTCAAACGAACACGTCAAGGAAATGAAGGCCTCCCCGCCCACAGCGAGGAGCAGGTAACGGCCAAAGCCCATAACAGGATCACCAAAATGGAAACAGCGCCAGTACCGCAACGGCTAACGGCCTGAAAATGCCTGCGTCGGCCAAAAGCACAAAGCACAGAAATCTACTCTCCTTCACTTCGCCTACGTCTCAGCTTAGAGAGTGGGGGACTCCTGATGGAGTATATGGGTCTGAGCCCCAGGACCCACATACTCGGAAGAACAGAAAGCACAAGACAACAAGAGTGGCGCCCTCGTCGGCCAAGACGCCCCCGTCGGCCGAGAAAAAGCCAACTCGGATTGTGGTCCTGAGTCCAAGGAACCCGGGTGCCACCCTCGTCGGCCGTGCCCTCGTCGGCCGTGCCCTCGTCGGCCGCGCCCTCGTCGGCCACGAAGACCTCCCAGAATCGGATTCTATACTTGCTCATTTGTACAGCCCATTAGAGGCTTTGTATTCGGCCCAGTAGCGGTCCAGTTGTAAATGAGCCTCCCAAGCTCAAGGCTTGGGAGCCCAACCCTAATTTTCTCTATAAATACTCCCCTTGGGAGTAGTTATAGGGGTTACAAATTCATTCTATTGAAGCATATTATTGCACTTCTCTCTCTAGCTCTCACTTCTCTCTAGATATACTCTATCAGGTGTATCAATGGCAAACTCATAAATAAAGTATGTGACTAAATTCCCCACCATCCTGTCAAGTTGGGGTGAGGGTTTCTAGGATGAGAGATTCCACCTTTTGGATCGATCGCATTGAAAAGGAAAGGAAAAACAATAGTGTAAAAATTGAGGTTGTGTAAAAGTTAAGGTATATGATATTGACTACTTTTATTGAATAACTTTACAAACAGACTTGGAGCCTATAGATTTCCTATGTTTAGTTCTTCCAATTCAATCATGCCAATTTTTTTAAAACATAACGGAATATCTAAGAACTAATTTTATCCAAAAAACAACTCCCGGTGTTTCAAGAATCCGATCAAATAACCAGGCAGAGGGTGCAAGGAAAGAATCTCAAGTGTCTGCCAGTAGCCGGTTAAAATTTCATTGGAAGCCTTTGAAACTCGAAAGACACGTGTTGATGAAGATCAGGAAACCGACTGAACTAGTTTCTCCATTTTCTTAACGAACTCCGGTGCCAATTTTTTATTGGGCTTCTTTTCATTCTTCTCGGCCCGGAAGTCGAACCCGAATGCGTACGAGACTTCTTCGGAGCTCCACCCGGATTTCCTGAGCGAGCCCGAGAACCCATCCGCTTTGACTAACAGCGCATCGCGAACCGCTTGATTGTCCAGGATAACCATCTCGCTGTCGAACAATCCGGACGCTGACACGTGTAGGATCTCCGATACGTCGGATTCCTTCCACCCACCTCCTCTCAGAACCGACCCGATTTTCTCTATGTACTCTTCCACCCATTTAGGCGTTCCGGATCTCCGCACTTCAAAGTACCGTTCCGGCGAAGAAGACGAGGAGGAGGACGAATTCGACCTCCTTCTCCGCTTATCCACGACGGCGTCGCTCCAGAACTCCACCCATCGCGGGGTTCTCCCTCCGGCGGAGCTCTTCCTCGACGTAATCGACGAGGACGACCCGGTTGATTGAGATTCTACACCGATTTTGCGTTTTCCGCAGAGAAAATTAAGGTCCGAATTGAGGAACAGGGACGCCTCACGGTCGAAGAAATCAGATAGATCGAAACCACAGCAGGACAGCTCATTCTCGTCCACGTAGAAAATAGGGTTCCCGGCTAGAGAAGGATGGCAGGGGATGTAACAATGGTTGAAAATTGGTATCAGAAGCGGGGCTCTCTTCAGAGCATTTCTAGCGATTTTGAGCGCCTTCTCCGCATCCGAAGGCCGCGGGCCCCACGACTTGGACCAGAGCCCGTTCCTGGCTATATGGAACGACACGGCGGCGGCGGGGAAATCGATCGACGCGCGAAGCTGGTGACGAGACGAGCGCCAATCCGGAAATCCAGGGCCAAGCGGAAGACCGGCGGAGAGGATGGCTTTGAGGTCCGGCGGGAAGCAGAAGCCGTACTCGGCTTCAGCTCGGGCGAATTCGGCGTCGGATAAGCCGGATTCTACTCGCACGCCGCAACTTCTGAGATGGACGATAACTTTATGGACAAGCGGCGTGAAGGAGAAGAGACTGTTGCGGGCGGGAAGAGGGGTAGAAGGCGTGGACGCTGCTGCTCTGGCGGAGAGGCGGCGGAGGCCGGCTAGGTGGGCCGGATTAAGCCCGGCCATTCTCCGGTCAACGTCGACCATTTTTGTTGCTTGATCTGCGAAAGTAAGAATCCGTTGGACTGAAAAGCAAAAGTGTGAACTCCAGAGAGTCCGTGTGATGTTATAAAAAAGGCGGAAAAGGATTGAGACGATATGGAGCAAAAAAAAAGGCAGGCTGCTATTTATTTCTTTTCCATGTTTTTGGGTAGGGCCGTTTACTTATTTTTAGTTGATGAATATAGTTAATTAGAGTTATAGTTGGGGCATTTGGAGTCAGCATCAAAGAATAGGTGTATTTTATTGGTGGGGTTTTTGTGTACCCTTTTTGCCGGTGTACGAAAGATTGCTTTGTACTAGTTGTTCTCTCTATCTTTCATTTTCGAGTTGGGTTAGTGATCCTAATTTGGGGTTACAATTGATCCAAAAGTATAATCTCCCACCGGAGGAGCCCCACTCCGACTTGACAGGATGGTGGGGAGATTAGTCACGATGACTCAGTCACCAGAATGTAAGTAGACTCATACACCTGTGCGCACTAGAGGCACAACCTTATTTCAGGTTCCGTGACCTTCACTCGGTCGGGGTGGGAGTTCGAACTTTGGTCCATTGATCTAAATCTCTCACTACTCGTCCAATTGAGCTACCTGCGCGGGTAATTTGGGGGTTACAATAGGTTACGTCAGGCTACGCCCAACATGGTTACTCTCGTCATGTTTTTGACACTGTTTGACATTATTTTGTACTCCTTTCGTCCCATAAAATTCTTCCCACTTTCTTTTTTGGGTTGTCCCAAAAAATTCTTCCCACTTACCATTTTTGGACAATTTGTGTGGTTCACATTCATTTCACCTTTTTCTTACACAACAATCACACATTTCCACTTTATTCCACTTTCTTAATTTCCATGCCAAGTCAAAGTGGGAAGAATTTTCTGGAACGGGGGTAGTACTATTTACTACTCCAGAGTGTTGTTTGACATTATTTGACATTTTTCGGGTACGGTCTGAAAAGGAAAATGCGATATTTATTTAGGGACGGAGGAAGTATGTTTTAAAGATCACATATTTCCTTCAGGTTTATTTCCTATCACCAGGGTGAGGTAACCATGGATTCATAGATGGCTTGCCACGTAAGCCCTGTGGAGAGTCCGACCTCGCTAAGGTCCCGATCTATTCGTGATGCATTGAATTTTGTATGATACGGAGTATTTATTTACCCTCTGATCTATTCCTATATATTGGTCGTATTTAAACTATTTCACATAAGTAGTTTAAGAAATTGTGTATAATAGTTTTTAAAGTCAATTGTAATATTTTGAAGTCATGTTCTTTTGTTAGGAAAATAATTAGGGGAATTTTTCGAAACAGGTTTTGAAATTTCAAAATAAGATTGATATGTTTTTATTTTCGAAATAGGTGTATTGTCATCTTGTAATGGTTACATCCAAATAATTGTAGTACTAAGTGATAGAGTACATGAACCTTGACCCATGACCCACATACTCTTGAACATATGAACGACCCAAATCCACATCAAAGCCAGAAGGCCCAGCCGGAGAGCCCGATCCAGAATGAAGAGACGGACTTTTTGTTTGTACCATCACCTCAACATATACGTCTCGGAGGAAAGCATCTCGTTCGCATGCCAGTATGGCTCACCTGAGGGTTTCACCAGCAAGGCCGAGGTTCACCCTAGCACATCGGACCCAACACTACCAGACCTCATCATTGTATCCTTAGCGGATTAGTACGCGTGCAAACATCATTTATTATCATTCTTTAATTCTTGTGCCGGTAAAGTGTGCAATTCAATTCGGAACGGAGCTCAGGGAGTACATGGGGTCTTTGACTAATATTGGCCCATCAACCAACTCTGGCTGATATGATTAATATTGGAAGTGCATCAATCGGTTAAAAAGAGATTGATCAGAAGACTTTTTAAATTAAACATAAATATCTTTGACTAATTTTGAACAAGTGTTCCATAGTAAATCAATTTTCAACAATTCTTAGTGTACACCTTCTTATACATATCAGTACACCTCCGTGTTTGTGAGAGTTTTTTTTGTCTGTGAATCCCAATCCGCAGAAAAAAACTTGCTTGTTTTGTTTGTGCAAAAAATATTTTACAGACAAAACAAGCAAATGTTTTTCTACGGACTGGGATTCACAGACAAAAAAAACTCTCACAAATACAGAGTTGTACTGATATGTATATAAGAAGGTGTACAAAAGGAATTTTGAACAATTTTTTGTGTAGGTCTTGTATACACTTTTTGTACACTTGTTGGTGTTTTAATGATCTCGAACATTTCAGGTCTTTAACCACACAATCAAACAAGAAATAACTGCATATATATGACTACAATCATATTGTTTACAAGTAATGAAATCATAGTGATTTATGTTCAATTTTTGAACTTAAATTACTATATCACAACATTGTAGTAAATAATAATCATATTTGTGTAAATAAGCTTTATTGTAGTAATAGTTTTGTAAAATACTCAACAAACAATGCATTAATCACATATTTCAGTTTCTAAACATCAATATTCGTTCAAAACACTTGCAGTTCGAAGGAGAAATTAAAACGTCCATTAACCGACAATAGTTTTTACACTTTTACGTTTAGTTCTACCTTCGGAAATTTCTAATTTCTTCATCTCAACAAGTGAATTTTGAGAATCAATTTCTCATTTATCCGTTATTCATTTTGAGTGTACCAAATATTAAATTGAACTTCTTAAGAAGAAGAATCTAAACCACTTTAACCCGACCCAAATCGGAAGTGGATTTGACTCAAAATAATGCCCAAAAATGACTATTTGATGCAGTTTTAATAAAAAAATTCTTACCTAGATAACTATGTTTGTGGTTAGTTCCTCCAAAAATTTGATTCCCCAACCTCAAGGGTGCCTCACGCCCCGACCCGGTGATAAGGCCGACCCTGGCACTGTGCGAGCAGTGCGGTTGCACATGGCCCAAGTTGAAGGGAGGGCCCTTTTGTTAAGTAATTAAGAGTACTTAGCCATATGTTCACATTTTTTGCTAAATCCAAAAAGTTGCTGCCTGTGAAATTCGAACTTACATTATCTAGGAGAGGGAGGTATAGCTTACCAACTTACCAAGTAAGCTGGTTGAGTAAAAATATCCTTATTGAAATCAATTAAAACCTTACTTCCAATTTATTATAAGCACGTGAGCACATAATAAATTTAATTATATGTATTATTAGTATTACTTTACTTCCGCATGCATGCAACATGTGAAATATAAGTGACAAAAATTACCATGTCACAATTATTTTATAGAATCTTCCATCGGTTTCAAATTGAGTTGTAAAATTGACTTTTTCGAGTAAATAGATTGATTTTATTCACTTAATTGGAATATCAAACTTCTTAATTAATTTTTAACTCGGAATTTTCAACTTCGGAAAGATTTTAATTTTTGAAATTGAATTAATTAGCAATAGGGAGGATATAACTTTAACATTGAGATGGAGGCAATATAATTTTTTTTCTTTTTAACAAGGCCTTTTATTTTATTTTGAATAGGGATTTCAGTACCATGAGACCGGTCCAGCCAATGATCATAAACTTTGTATTGATGCGTACTAAAGGTCCAATCCAACACACAACAACTGAAACCTTCACATAGTTATCACGGATTCAGCTCGTTGATGATTTCTCTAACTTTCGCATAAATTGACCAACTAAACTACACGTGTAAGTACACGCGAAGTTAGTGACGTTAAAGAAAGGAGTTGACATGAAAAGTTGATGGGGCGGGCGGTGATGGGGTGGCACAGTAGGAGCCACGAGGTTGAGTTGCCGATCGCCATCGGTCCAGCTTGCCCACACACGCGTATGTATATACGTACATATGGCTGGCGGGCAGGGCCAGCTAACTTAATTGGTTGGCTAGCTAGCTGTTCTCTCATGTGTATGCATCTATACTCACCGACAACACACATGACTCAACCATGACTGCCGGCGCATTCTTGAGGTGCGTTCACAAGGATTAACAAGGACTAATCCGTGCTCATTCTCAGTACGGAGGAATATCACATTATCTCGAGTCCTTTTGGGCACACTTTAAACTAGTGGATGAATCCTTTATTCGATCTATTTATTACATTTGTTTAAAATTGACTAAATATGTTAAATTAGGTAAAACTAGATTCAAAGTATAGTTTTAACAATAATTTTGATGAACATATAATTCGGGTTGTAAACGAATTAAATACTCCCTCCGTCCCTATATAAAAGTATCTATTCGTTTTCCACACGAATGTTTGACACTGTTTTGCACTGTTTTGTTTGCCAAAAAAAGAAAGGGAACTTTTATTTAGGGATGATGAAGTATATGGGTCTAGGCCTCAGGACCCACATACTCAGAACAGAAAGCACAGCCATTACGCGGTGCCCTCGTCGGCCAGAAGACCCTCGTCGGTCGAAGAAGGGCCAACTCAGAATATGATCTTGAAGCCAAGGAACCAGGGTGTCCTCGTCGGCCGTGCCCTCGTCGGCCGTGCCCTCGTCGGCCAGAAGACCCTCGTCGGCCACGGAAGACTCACAGAACCGGATTTTACACTTACTCATTTGTATAGCCCACCAGTGGCTTTGTATTCGGCCCAATAGCGGTCCAGTTGTAAATGGGCCTCCCAAGCCCAAGGCTTGGGAGCCCCAGCCCGTATTTTTCCTATAAATACTTCCTCTGGAGGTAGTTATCAGTGTGAAAAAATCATTCTATTGAAGCATATATTGCACTTCTCTCTCTAGCTCTCACATCTCTCTAGACATTTACTCTATCATTTGGTGCTCTCGTTGAGAGCTAGAACAATCAAGTTAGCACCCTTCGTCGCTACCAAGCACAGCTAACCACTGATCATGGGAAGAACTAAGTCAAACCGTAACCTCGTCAGCAAGGCCATCCCTGAGGACCAGGAGACCAGGGAGCACGAGGAGGATGCTACGGCCGACCAGGTCGGCGGAGGGGACGTCTTCCAGGAGGCCATCAACCTCACGACGAACCTCCGCAACCAGCTCAACGGCGGAGCCCCTGATGCCCGCATCGACTTGGATAAGAAGCGAGCTGAGAAGACAGACCACGCCCCGGCCCAGCCTATGACCGCGGCCTCTCCGT